TTTTTTTTTTTTTTTTACCCTGTTGCTTGTTCTGAGCATGAACCAGGAAAAAGAATGGAAATTTTTTTGGGAAAGACTATTCTCAAACACCCACTTCCAAACCAGTTCTCCAGGACCTCCTGCAGATTTCCATTTGAACTGATTCAGAAGGAGGGCATTCTCACTTTGCATCTATCATAGCACTAAAAAATATAGCCACTTAAGGTGCTTTTTGCTCAGCTCACTCTTTCTACTACCACTTCTGAATAAAATGATAGGCGTGTATGATAGATATAAGGATAGGCCAGGTTGGACATAGGGCCTTTGAGCAACCTGCTCTAGTTGAAGATGTTCCTGCTCATTGCAGGTGGGTTGGACTAGATGTGCTTTGAAGGTCCCTTCCAGCCCAAACTATTCTATGATTCTGTATTTCTAGGCTTAGTTAAAGAAACTGCACAAAATAAATGGGAATCTCCTCCCATCACAATAGCACATAAACCACAAGACTTCTTCACTTGGAGGTACCCTGAGTTATCAACAGCAAACACTGACCGGGAGCTTTTGCCTTGGAAAAGGTGCAGCAAGCTTTTGGGGAGAGTTTATGTGCTTTTTGAGCTATATGGCCAAAACCTCTCTTCAAAATCAGAAAAGGCAGCTTAAGCTACATGATAGAGTGGGAGCAAATGCTGTCCCAAGATCTTGCTGTGGTCCCTGGCTCCTGTGCTGGAGCAGCCCACCAGGTGAGCAGTGTGATGGAGTTGAATGACTGTTGCCCACTACACGTGTAATTATACATGTGAAAAACTCATACCCCAGATTCTCTCTGGAGGTTTGTTGTTTTTTACTCTGCAATGGTGGGACAGTCCAAATGGCTTTGCTGGCTGTGTTATTTATATAGGAAACAAGAAAAATCCAGAAATACTCTGCCTTATCCAGTGATTTCTACTCTGACCACCTAAAAATCCTAAGAATTCTCTTCTTTCTCTTTTACCTTCAGAAATAAACTCCTATCACTGTTCATCTAGGAGAAATGAAAGCAGTGCCAACCCTCTTTCTGTTACCACTCCTCACCTGCTAAAGTCCGTGATTACCTCCCCTGGCTTACAGCAATACGTATGGGACAGATCTTTTTCCTTTTCCTCTCATTGCTAGAAGATCCAGAAACCCGTCTTCATTTCACTGGGGGTTTTGTACACTCTATTTGGATTATTTGTTTCAAACAGCCTCTAGCAGAACAAAACGCCTACGGAGAAAGCCTACAGAGAAAGCACACCATCTTTTACTCACTGGAGGCCAAAGGGATTGTCTTTCGGGGTGAAGAACATAGTGCTTGCTCTCGCCTCCTCGGTGGCCTGGTTGGGCATTCGGGGTTGCCGGAGACGCTCTGTCCTCGACAAGTGGCTGCCTGGGAGGTCCCTGGGGTCCAGAGCCGGTCTGGAATGGCATCGGGCTTCCAGTGCTGATCCCAATTGACCCTCTTTTCGCTCTATGAACATGCTGACAGGTCTGTCTCTGGGGGCACTGTGAGCTGGAGAGCTTCCCCTGGTCCCAACTGTGAGACCTTTGATGTCAACTGATGAGGTTGGAGCCACACCAGTGGTGGGGCCAAGCTCCCCCCTGCTCTGGGGGTGCAGGATAAGGACTGACTGAGGCCGACTCTCTGGTATTTTGGTTGGTTTGAGGGAGGAGTCCTTCATCCTGTTCTGCTCTGCCCTCTGCAAAGCCTCCATTCTCCCTTGCTGCTCAAAGGCTTTGCGTTGTCTCTCCAGAATTTCCTTCTGCTGACGGATCTGCTCCATCATCTCCCTCTCATTTTGCAGCTGAAGCTGCTTTTGCCTTTCCTCTTTCTCTACGTTGAGCTTTTCCAGTCTCTTGATGACAGAGTCTGGAGAACGGGCCTGTATGGCAGTCCCTGTCCCACGTTCCTCTCTCTTAGTAGAGGACTTCTCTTCCTCCTCTCCCAAGGCTCTGCCCTGCTCTGGCTCAGAGTCCTTCCTGACCTCAGAGAATGTACCTGTCTTCTTTCTTTCCACTGCTTTGTTCTTCAGGTTATTCTCCATCAGCTTCACCTTCACGTTGTCTTGTGGTGGAACATAGAAAGTAGGTAGGTTGCTGGAAAGGAAGGTTTCTCTTGGATGAGCCTTGTTTATAACATTCTGGGGGTCACACACTATGTGCTCCTTCATGGTGAGGTTATCAGGTAGCTCCAAGTCTGCAAGTATCCTTCTGCAACTGGGTAAATTGCTGTTCACATCTGCCCCACAGAAAGACTTGTCCTGCAGGTGAGCCTGGGGACTGCTAAGCAAAGAGTCAGTGGAGAATGACTGCACATCCTGCTCATCTAAAACTAAGGAAACGAGTTTATTACTTGGGGTGTCTTCACAGCTTAACATCTCAAAGCTCCCTTGAGAGCTTTCACTCTCTGGGGTTCCCTGAGGGGAATGAGGTGCTTCTGACACCAGCTCAGTGGACCACCGCCGCTCTTCAGAAGGTGACAGCCCACCGGTGGAGCGGACCTTGAGCAGCTCCAAGCTGAATTTTGCCTGTTCCAGTTCACGCATCCTCCGGCTTTCTCTTTTTGCACGAACCACTTTTTTCTGGTTGAGATCCTCCAGCGATTTGGGTCTCTCTCTCACGACGACCTCCTCTTCGGTGTCCATCCCACTCTGGCTACTGGCTCTCTCATGCCTTTTGTACAATAAATTCCCAGAAGAATCCAGTGGGTCCATGTGATTCACCCGATTATTTTCCATCAGTGATTTATGTTCCTCTATAGCTCTCACTCGCTCTTCAAATGAGCCATCCTCCCACTTAGATGGGTCAGAGCCCTTAATTTCCAAAGCATCATCTGCCTCTAGTCCATCGTCTTCTCTAACAGACAGGCCATTCTCCAGCTGCACCTCTTTTAATCGCTGCTCTTTCAAAGCTCTAAACCTGCAAGAAAGCAGAAAACCAGCATATTTTTGTACACAGTGAACTGTGTCCACTCACATCCCTTCAAGGCACTGTAACAGTGGCATCTCATGACCATCAGCATCACCATCATCACTTCACCACCACCAGCATCTCAAGCAACCCTCCTTGCACATCTGGTGCAAGGCAATGCAAGTGCAAGTTCAGTTTTCAACCTTCTCCTCTTATGCCATCTCTCCTACCCAAGGACTGTCCCAACGCACCTGAAAGCTCCTCTTGAGACTGACAGCAGCTGCTCCAGCCTCCATCCCTGGTCTAGCTCGTTTGTGAGCTGACAGAGCCAGAAAAGCTTAATCTGTTGCGCCCCCTTGGCTTCTCCATCTTCACCATCCTGCTTGGGCTGCCTCTTGTAGAGCCAGCAGACACTTGTGCCCAGCACCCAAATCTTCCACCCTATGTCAAGGTGCTCCACACCTTGCAGGCAGTGTCTCTGGAGAACAAACCAAAACCTACTCCGTGGCCAGCAAGCCAAGGCATGCTAGAAATGCTCTCCCCTTCACAGCAGCTGACTCCAGTATCTCCTGTCCCTGTGAGACAGCGCAGCAACCAGATCGGTGAGGCAATCTGAGTTAAAAATAGGCTACTTAAAGTGGTGCTGCTGCCAAGGGGAAAAAAAAAACAACTTGGGAGTATTTATGGCCTCGGCTTTCCACTGCCTACGTGCTCCAACCTGAAATAGGCTCTCCTTATTCTAAGAGTAGGATGTAGAGCTAAATAAACTCCTTTTGTTAGAAAGGGCCTCTTCATCAGGGACTGTAGTGATAGGACAAGGAGTGATGGGTTTAAACTTAAACAGGGAAGATTTAGGTTAGACATTAGGCAGAAGCTCTTCCCTGTGAGGGTGCTGAGGCTCTGGCAGAGAAGCTGTGGCTGCCCCATCCCTGGCAGTGTTCAAGGCCAGGTTGGACAGAGCCTTGGGCAACATGGTCTAGTGTGAGGTGAGGCCTTTGGCATGAGGTTGAAACTGGATGATTTTAAGGTCCTTTCCAACCCAAAACATTCTATGACTCTATGATTCTATGAAGCGTGGACAAAAGAAGGATCAGACCAGGTCAGGGCAGGGCCAGGGATCTTACGAAGGGCCACCCCCCTCTTTAAGTCACCGTTGTCCAAGCAGTGCTTGATTTCAGATCAACCACCTCCCTCCCCAGTGAGCATCACGAGAAGATGTTCTCATTTTAACCAACAGCGTTACCTTTGTCGTGCTAAATATCCTCTGCAGGCTGCCTGCAAGCAGACAACTTTGCTTCTGCAGGCTGCATACAGCTGCTTTGCGTGGTGCCCTCGCCAGGCTGCCTGGATGCTGGTGGCCGCATCATGACGCCGCTTGGTGTGCTCCCGCCAGCAGCTCTGGATGACGTGGGCTGCAAACTGCATCTGCAGGAACCTCCGCCTCTCCATGAAGCCACGCCAGTGGGCCTGGAGAACAACGGCAGCTTTGCCAAGGACAAGAGGGTCTGAGGATGGTTCCCTTTGTTTTCGGCTCTGGTAACTGCGCCAAAACCTCTGCAAACACAGCAGGCAGTTCCTTGTAACGGGTGTTGTGTGGGGGTGGGAGAGCACCTGCCTTCACCCAACCTTTCCAGCTCTGTTTCCCCCATTCCCAACTTATTATGGCATTAGGAGTCTAATCCTGATTGTAAGCTCCTTCCTTAGAGAGGGGACTTGATTTTACCCACCAGCTATATCTGTAGGATGCACGGATTGTAATTACCAACAAAACCAGGCACCATCACATACCTGTATGATGACTGCAGCTTGCCTTAAGCTCAGGAACTGCCTCCTGCAGAGCATGCTGCGGAACCAGTGCTGCAGCAGCATGATCCGGCGCAGCACCTCCTGATGCAGCAGGTCCTGCAGAAGCTGCCGCTCACGCTCCTTCACGAAAACCTGGCCAACCCCCCCCAGAAAATCACAAGCATGAGAGCTTCCAAGGCCACAAGACAGATGATTTAATCCTCCTGGAGTTTGTGTCCTGGATACCCAGAAGAAAGTTCAGCAGCTGATTATAGTCAAGCCACCTCTAACAGGTTTCTGCAGTTTCATCTATAGCCTGGGACTGTTCAAGGGCTGAATTACAGAGCCTCTGCTATCCCTTCAGGGGAGACAAACTGACAGCTATCGTATCAAGCTGTGTCTGCACACAGACATAGGTTTTTGAAGGCTATCTCATTACAACCAGACCTGCAACTTGGTTAACACAAAACAATGATGTTCCTTACTAGTTTTGTGTTAATAATATTCCAAGCTTCTTTTAAGCCATTAGCTTCTGGCAAACAGAAGAAAAATAGTTTCATTGACTAAAAACATATATAAAGATATTAGTTTATAATTACAGAAATGCAGGCAAATGTTATATTTGTATCTTAAACATAAGCCTGAGTTGAGGATAAACATTTACCATTGTTCTTCCGACTTGGTAATTGTCTGGATCCAGTTTTATTTTCCGGAAAAAATCATGAATATTGTGCTTAGATGGGTTGATTCCTTGAGGCAGAAGGACATGGAAATGGTTCACAAAATCCTAAGACGAAAGAAAAAAACCCCAAGATTTGGTTAGATGGGTCCTGATGTGTCCCTTCCTCCCATAAATAATGGATTTGCTCCACTGGCCACATGAAACAAGATCTATCGGGTGAGCAGAGGGACAGACAGCATTTTACAGACTGTGGAACACCAAATTTCATCCATCATTTGTGGTTTGACAGAAAACACATCAGAGCAGGGACCCAGCAATGTTCAAAGGTCTTTCAGTGTGGGAAGAGAGGTTCTGTAGAACCCACAGGGTCATCTCGAACAAAAAGGCTCCAAATCCTCAGCAAGGACCGCTACAGAAGGGGGTTACCAGCATCTGCAAAACATATCTGAGATGCTCCATCAATTACTGCTGTGAGGACTCAAAGAGTGGAGGAGCTACAAGAGGAGAGATTCTCCCAGGTAAGGTTGGGATATATGCTCACAGCAAAAAATAACAGCTGTTTTCCTTTTCTGAAGAGCTGCTGTGCAGGACATGACATCTGGCCCTAAGCAGCTGCCATCAGGGAACAAACTGGCATGAGCAACCCATAAAAGGACTGACATACGTGCAAATCTTGGCAAACCCAGGGAAAAAGAAGAAAACAGGAAAAGGTGGATAACTCCTGAGCGGTTTGGAGGATGCCAATCACCTGCCTGCTGGGATGCAGCCAGCACTGACATGACAGGCCAAATGCCATTCCCAGGCAAATCCAAAACACACACAGAAGAGCACATGCAAATTGGATCCCTTTTTCTTTGCAAAAAGGAAGTCCACATTGCAAAACTACCTGGTTTTGTTCAAAACCCATGATGTTGTTATCTGCAGAGGGGCTTGTAGTCCACTTAGGTCTAGGACCAGCAGTGCAGCAGAGGACCGCTCCATGTCCGATATCAGCTCATTACATTCACTGCCTTACCTCAGCTATAAACTCATTACCTTGGTAAACAGACGAGCTACCAACATTCAGACAACTCTGATAACAGTGCTAAAGGTGGAGAAAGAGGGAAAACATTTTACTCAACCTGGAAGGAGTATTTGCAGCCATATCCTGACTGGCGAATGCGAACGGTCTCCAGCATCCCCGTGTACCGCAGCTGCCTCAGCACCAGGCTGTCATTGAACCTCAGAGGCAGCTAAAAGGGGAAAACCAGGCCAATGATGAGCAAATATTCCCTTTAACTGAAGTTTTTAAGCTTGTGGATGGGTAAAGGGATTCAGCAGATGTACCACATCTGTGTGACATGCACATCAGCAACGATGCAAGGGGAGGGAGGGAACGCAGGTTCCCAGAACCATGCTAATCCCACCATGGTTGAATCCTGTTTTTGTCCAAGCAGCCATCAGATGGAGACTTTCAAACATATATATAGAGCTACAAAGAAGGTATTTTGAGCCCCTAAACTGAATAGAAGCCCCCTAGGACACAGCTAAAAATTGTGAGCAACTAAATCTCCTAGGCCTAAAGCTTCATCTTTAAATGTATGGATAAAACTCCAAAGGATTAATCCTTAAGAAAGCACCACTACTGCAACCTTTATTTTGAAGTGAGGGTCCTCAGCCCATGAAACATGCTTGAAATCCAATTCAAGAAATGTGATGCATCATTGAGTTAGTCTGAATAATGTAGCTTATTCTAAAAGTATCTTTTACCTACGGAAACTTTATTTTAGAGAAGCTTTAAGGCTCAATAACAGCACAAGTGAATTCACAGCTCTGCCAATCTCTATTACAGGTGGCAGAAGCTTCAAAGCAGTCAAATTAATTTATTAAGCTCAATATATTTTTTATATAAATTAAACCCACGTTTTTCATAGATGTGCTTCTACAATTACAAGAAGAGCCAGTGCAGTTCATCAAGAGCAACACACAAGTGATAACATCCATCCTTCCCGCTGATGATACAGAATTAGCTTCTAAATCCAACTCTATTTTGGGCCTCCTTTTCTTTTTAACCCCCTGACAAAATTACACAACATTTCCAAGATGATTTTTAGCAGCACTGCTCTCCTGTGATGGGATTTACCTTTTCAGCGTTGGATCGAATGCACTTGACAAAATAAGGTTCTGCTTGGCCAAGGGTCTCCATTAGCTTGTTGAGTGAGGCCTGCAACAGAGAAGACATCTTCAGTTGGGAAATGAAGAAGAGAATATGATGAATAATGAAAATTCAAGTTCTTAAACCAGAAAACAAAAACAGAATAAATGATGAGTAAAAGCAGGCAGATGGGAAATTGTTCCCCAAGACGAGTGTTTCAGCCCTAGCAACTTGGCTGGGTTTGTCTTTGCACCCAACAAATTAGCTAGAGAGAAATACAATGCTGTGCTGTGTTTCGAGATCGCCTGTTGAACTTTTTACATCAGCTGTGTAATGATTTTTGAAGCCTGTGAACCCTGAACAAAGTTGTTTTTAGAGGAAAATAGCTTCAGTGGTGGCATATTATCATAGAATCATAGAATGGTTTGAGTTGGAAAGGACTTTAAGATCATCCAGTTCCAACCCCCTGCCATGGGCAGGGACACCTTCCACTGGAGCAGGTTGCTCCAAGCCCCTGTGTCCAACCTGGCCTTGAACACTGCCAGGGATGGGGCAGCCACAGTTCCTCTGGGCACCCTGTGCCAGCACCTCAGCACCCTCACAGGGAACAGCTTCTTAAATCCAACCTGAACTTCCCCTGTTGCAGTTTGAACCCATCACCCCTTGTCCTATCACTACAGTCCTTGCTGAACAGTCCCTCTCCAGCATCCTTGTAGGCCCCCTTCAGATAGTGGAAGCTGCTCTGAGGTATCCACGCAGCTTCTCTTCTCCAGGCTGAACAGCCCCAATTTTCTCAGCCTGTCTTCATACAGGAAGACCCTGATCATTCAGGCTCTGATCATCCTTGTGGCTATTCCTGGCCATATACCTCTCCTGAAATGTTGTGATGGAGGGTTTTTCAGGTTCTCATTTTATATTTCTCCTTATTCCCGCATCATTATTAAAAGTGTAGGCCATAATAATTAATTTATATCAGCATCATTGCTATGCTCAACTGCTCCAGCAGGACCTCACGCTGAGCTATTCCTCTGCCTTGCAGATCTTTGAGTCTTTTGCAACAAAGCACAAACTCTTTGAATAAAAACATACCAAAAATCCGAGCTGGCCAGGCTCCTCAGCTGCATTGGCTTTACTGTGCCCTACCAATATTTTGAATATCTCTAATTATGAGCACATTACTGACTTGGCATCAGTAACGTGCTCCAGGCTTGATTCTTCCTCATATTAAGAGCGTTTAAAACTCAGTTGTGTAACAGATGTTCTGTTGCATATTTACTATAAGTAGAGTTATTTTTGGTTATACATGATACTAGAAAGAAGCATTTTGCCTACAGATCTGCTTGCAGGAAGCCTTTTGTCCTTCTGATCATTTAAAGACATCTTTATGGGAAGCCTTTCATGTTTAGAAAAATGTATTTACATCCAGGATTTGGAAAAAGAGGAAGGGATTGATCCCATGCATGTGCAATACAGCTGTGTTATCCTAATACTAACTGCGTGCAAATGTCATAGAATCCCAGACTGGTTTGGAACCCAGTTCCAACCCCCTGCCATGGGCAGGGACACCTTCCACTAGAGCAGGTTGCTCCAAGCCCCTGTGTCCAACCTGGCCTTGAACACTGCCAGGGATGGGGCAGCCACAGCTTCTCTGGGCACCCTGTGCCAGCACCTCTGCGCCCTCACAGGGAAGAGCTTCTGCCTCAGAGCTCATCTCAATCTCCCCTCTGGCAGGTTAAAGCCATTCCCCCTTGTCCTGTCCCTCCAGGTCTTTGTCCAAAGCCCCTCTCCAGATTTCCTGGAGCCCCTTTAGGCACTGGGAGCTGTGCTAAGGTCTCCCAAGAGCCTTTTCTTCTCCAAGCTGAATAATCCCAACTCTTCCCCTGTCATTCCCATTCCAGGGAGCAGTGGGAACACCACAATGTGGGAGACCTCCACTGGCATGCTCCCGCTTTTCTCCAAAATCGCTTTTTTTTACACAAAAAGAAAGAAAAAAGCACCTATTAGGAGATCTGAACCAGTGATGCTGCAGCATCCCACTGTGCCCCACACTGGGCTGAAGGGAGGGAAGGGAGACACACACAGGATTCAGCCCATTTGCCAAAGAACCCTGCCAAAAGCCCTGTAAGCAAAGTGCTCCTGACACTGGAAATAGTGGAAATGTGATCATTCTGTGACTGCCTGCCTGATGGAGGGGGGATTTCCGTGTCATCAGCAGCCAGTGACATTCTGCACACGGCAGATGGTTTGGGCACCCTCTGCCATCTGGTGCAAGCTCTGGTCATTAGGAATACGTGAAGGACATGCCAGATCCCTGGATTAACCCTGGACCCTGCTCCTTTGTCTCTCTGCCTGCAAAACTTTCCAGCCACCCACTCTTTCACCCCCTGCATTGGAGCTGAAATGCATAGTTTCAGCATCATTCCATGCTAGACAGGGCAGCATCCTTTGCTTTAGGGTACCACCTGCATGCAGGATAAAAGGGGAAGCTATAAATCACCATGCTGCAGTTTATGTCTAATTTTCAGCTGTGAAAACCATTGCTGCTCTTACAGCACCCTCTAAGACACCTATTTCACCTAAAGATTACTGTAAGTTAATAGTTAATATCAATAGGAGACAGAAGCTGCAAGCCTGGTGTTGAGGCATTAGCCACAAGGCAGCATTTATCAGCAAACCCCCTCCTTCAACCCTGTGATAGGAAACATTTGTATTTCCTGCCTGTGACCCCATTCCATGTGCTGCAATTTTATTAGGCTGCTCTTGATGAAGAAAAGCAACCTCCTCAGCTTGCACCAGGCTGCTCTTGCAAGAAAACACTTCTCTCAAGTGTTAAATGAAGTCAGGGCTGGAATGCCCCACGTTTGTCTTAGAGGATAAGCAGGCAGTTGTACCAGAGCTGCCTCTGACTTCAACATGATTTTATCCATTTCACTAAAAGAAGGATGTGTTGTAGGCACAGCTCCTACATTGTCAAATCATCGCTGGGGAACAGCATGAAGTGTAAGGAAAAGGGTATTAGAATGATCTGCTTTGCTGCATAGGGGCAGGGGGGGAATCTTCACAGCATTCAGCGGTCTTTTATTTGTAAGTGCCATAAAAGCACACACTAAAATCTCAGTCACACGCTCTGAGGCTTTTCAGAGTTTCCTCTGAAGGATGAAGAGGGTTCAGGAAGGCATTTCACACCAAGACATCCCTGTTTCAAACCCACCGTGGTACTGTATGAATTAAACTCCGCAGAAGTACATTTTAACCAGCATACTATTAGACTAGACTAAGCTTAATAGATGTATGTATACAGACGTGCATTCTGCAAATTATATATACTTAGATTGGTACATGTATGCGTGCATGTATATTTAATTAATCTTACCCAGATCTATGCATACAAAATTTCTAAAAACAACCCACATCTCCAAAAACAACCCCACACCATCAAAAGGACAAGTCAGAACCAAGCCAGACTTACTTAAAAACCAATTTTTAACTGAAAAGCTGCTTTCTAACATCACCACCTGCTTGTGCGTGCGTCTTGCAGCGGTTTCCAAGCCCTGATGCACATACTTGAGGATTATTTTTGCTGCAGCTAATCCTGGGGACGACTTGGTGCATTGCGCTGACAACACAGCACATGCTGTATTGATCCCTCCTCTCAATTCCACTGCCTGCCTGGAGATAATGCAGCAATATTGTGACCTTTCCACCCCTACTAAAATTCCCATTCTGGCAGACTTGAAACCCGTGTGAATTTCAGATGCTGAATGCAAGTCAAAAGACTATAAAAATGTCATTTTGGGATTTTGCCGTTTCTAGATTTGGCAGAGAATGCGCCACGATGCGATGGCTTATAAAGTGAGGTACCAGAGGTCAGGCTGCATGCTCTGCAGCTCATCCTCACATCCCATCTTGCTCTACCACATCATCCTCCCCCATACCCACCATGGCTCTTGATTCTCTCCATTTACACTATTTAGATACCTGCATGGAGTCTCCCAGCTTACCCAAGTCATGTAAACAGCTGAATTTATGTCCTAAATGGTGGTGAGGATCATGGAATCTCAGACTGGTTTGGGTTGGAAGGGACCTTAAGGCTCATCCTGTTCCCACCCCTTGCCACGGGCAGAGACACCTTCCACTAGACCAGGTTGCTCCAAGCCCTGTCCAACGTGGCCTTGAACACTGCCAGGGATGGGGTAGGACTGTGCCTGCAAGTGTGCCCTTAAGGCACCCTGGGAACCCAGAACAGGTATTTGCTTTTAACCTCTCTCTATCAAAGATCTAAATCATAGGTTTAATATCAAAGGAGTACCTGGAACTGGGCACTGATGCTGGGTGGTTTTTTCTTCTTATGGAGATGGAGGAGAGATTTGGTAATGCGGTCATGCAGCGTCAGGTTGGTTAGGTGCTTGAGGGACTTCACATCCAGCATATGCTGTGGAAAGAGAGACTCCATTTGTTCTTGATAAATACAACAATAACTAGATCTTACCATCATGCTGTCTGCTATTATCGTCTTTATCCCCTCTGCAGGGCTTCCTGAGGTGACCACCCTACTTAATTTCAATAGGAAACACAGAGGGATATCTTGAAATGTAGTTCTGCTCTATGTGGCCAGATCTCCCAGCTCATGTTCCTCTGAGCTCCTCTGAGAACTTGGCAAGGGCATCTTTGACCATGGGAAATTTGGTTCTCCTACCCAGTAAGGGCTGCAGACAAATCATCCTCGTTAATCAGCAGTTCATCATCTAACTGTATCTGTGTCTCTCCAGGTGCAACACGCACACAGAGAGGAGTAAACCCAGTTTGCTCCTCTTGGTCCTCCATTCCCGATCACCAACACAGCACGAACAGGAACCACAACAAGCATTTTTCTTCTAGGTACAACAGATCTCTTGGCATCTCTTAAAATATAGTTAATGCAGCCAAGAAGGAGGGAAACTGAATATTAGACAAGTCTGATGTCTACCAGGCACTAGCCCTCTTGCATAACCTACCAGCTCATTCAAGTTTAGAGATTTAATTATCAAACTTCACCAGCATGTATGTACTCTTTCGTATGTACTCTTGCCCAGGGTAAGGAAAAAAGGAGCCAGAGCAGGTCCAAGAAAGGAGCTCGTTCAGCATATCCCAGCACATCAGGGTTGAAATCATTTGGGTTTATATAAAAAAAAGAGCCCTGAACAAAGCTGAGTTGACCAAGGTCTTGATGCAGACACAAGTGCCCTTCCTCACACCCATCAGCATCTCATCACTCTTCCTAGCCTTAACCCACAGACCTGCAAGGTAAAAATGCTGCTTCTCACTCACCTTTGGGAGACTGGGTTTGGCTTTGAAGTTCTTGTTTCGCCTGGGGACATAATAAATGGCTCAGGTTAATCCATGTGTGCAATTGCAGAATGGAGGAGTTGATGAAACAAGCCCTTCCAAACCCCCTTTAGTGGCTGCTTCCTGTGACCTGAACTGAAACTGGGCTGCTTCTACATGCTGCAGACTAGGTGTACAAATTTAGTGGCACAGGTTTGAGAGGAAGGTATTCAGTTAAAGAGAATGGTTACACTGGCAAGGATGGGGATGCCAGAAATTGGGCAGAGTGAGGGAGCAGCACTGGGAAGGACTGACCATCCTCCTGCTTTCTCACAGCCTGTGTTAAATCCAGACAGCCGCAGCATTCTCTGAACCTCCTGATGGGGCTCCAGCATGAATCAACATCCTTTCTCCACCTAATTTGTAATGGAAACTTTGATATCATGCTAAAAAATGTGACTGCATTACACTGCTGTCGTATCTGGAGACTGGTTTGACTGGCAGATTCTTTCCTTCTCCCTGCATCTGTCATAACGAATGAATGATAAGAGGTAAAAAAATCAGACATGTAAAACATACTGGGGGTTGACCCAACCATGAAACATGACCAAGTCTACTCAAAACCCTGATATATTTATATTCTGGCTATTTACATTCCTCTAACCACCCACGTTGCTCATTATAGTCCAGGAATAAAGCCAAAATCCCCTCCTTTACTGACATGAGGATGCCGTGGGCCCTCTCCAGTAGCTTGCTGTTGGTGGCGTTGACAAATATCCCATCCTTGTCTAGGAAGGCGCTGGGGCTGGCGAGCCGGCTGTGCCGCATCCCCATCCTGCCATTCCAGCCAACCGCATAGGCATCACTGCAACACCAAATACCACACAGTGTTAGGAAGACATACCCAACCCAGCTCCATGACAAAATAAGATCATAAAATAATCCATCAGTAGAAAATGAAAGTCACCATTTTATTCTTTTCACCACATCCTGGGCTGCATCAAAAGAAGCATGAGCGGCAGGGTGAAGGAGGTGATCTTGCCCCTCTACTCTGCTCTCATGAGGCCTCACCTGGAGTACTGCATACGGTTTTGGTATCCCCAACATAACAAGGACATAGAGCTACTGGAGCAAGTCCAGAGGAGGCCACCAGGATGACCAGGGGCTGAAGCACCTCCCATATTAAGACAGGCTGAGAACATTGGGGCTGTTCAGCTTGGAGAAGAGAAGCTGAGTGGAGACCTCAGAGCAGCTTCCAGTGTCTGAAGGGGGTCTAGAAGGATGCTGGAGAGGGACTATTCGTCAGGGACTGTAGTGATAGGACAAGGGGTGATGGGTTCAAACTGAAACAGGGGAAGTTCAAGTTAGATCTTAGGCAGAAGTTCTTCCCTGTAAGGGTGGCGAGGCACTGGCACAGGTTGCCCAAGGAAGTTGTGAATGCCCCCTCCCC